TGTCAAACGGGAGTGGAACAAGAGCACGGCGCAGCGCTTGACTGACAATGGGGCAGGGGCAGACAATGCCGAGGCTGTTTCTGCTCCCAAACCCCAGCATGCTCCGGCAAGGACAGCTCCTTGCCAGCAGCCCGCAAACAAAGGGACCACGTCGGCACCGCTGACCGTGGAGAACGAGCCGCCGCAGAACAGGGATTCATCTCACTCGCAACTGGACAGCACAGCCTCCTTACAGGAGAAAGCCCTGCCGCAGCCCACGTCGCCGCTGAGCAGTGCCGCAGGTAAGGGATTTGCTTTCCAGGCCCCTGGGGAAAGCTGGGTAGCGGGCCCGGGGAGCCGTGGTGGGGCTGGGCTCCCTCCTGGGAGACCACGGCTCCTCGGGGAGGACGTGGACCCCGGCCAGCGAGCGCGGGTCGCCCAGAGAATCGCCTCTGCTCGGGGGTACTGAGCCTTGCAGAAGGGAAGGGGGGAACAGGGGTTCAGCCGGTCTCCTCGCCCTGCGCACCGTTCCCCCCTCTGATAGAGGGACTGGGACGCGGCCGTTCCTTAGCACGCTGCGCCGGGCTGGCGAGCCCCCACTGCCTTGCCTTTGCCAGGGCCGCGTGCCTGCTGAGCGGTGCAGAACGGTGGCTGGCTCTCCAGCACCACGTTTGCCAGATGTTTCTGCTCAATCCAAACCCCGTCCGTATGGCGGCAAGGAGGGGGTTCCCCCGACCTGCTGCCGGTGATGCCGAACAGCAGGAGCCCCTTCTGTCCGCAAAGGAAAGTTGCCGGGCGGGCTTGCTCGTGGGCCGAGTTAACGTGGGTTTACCACTGAACTCCCCCAAAGGCCACTTCCAGAAGAGAGACATTAACACCGATTTTGAGTTCCAGAAGTCAGGCTGTGTTTAGCTCTGACAGCCACGGGAGATGTCCGCTGCTTGAAAGAGGAACGGCAGCTGGGACTCACCTGTTACGGAGCAGTGTCCCGGGGGAAACCGAAAGATGCTTGTGGGAACTCCAGGGTAAAGGCTCTCCCGTCTCCAGGAGAGCGGTCTCCGAGCACACGAGACACGGAGTTTGGTTTAAATAATCATTAACTTGTCACGGAGCACGTATTTTCACGCGGTATGAGCCACCACAAGCGAACCCGGAGTGGTTGGTTCCTTCTCAGCAGCTGTCTCCGCTGTTTCTGCTGCTTTTCCTTGTAACGCACTGTGTTCTCCTTCATTTCCTAGGACAGTTGAGTGGGAAGCAGGTTCTGTCTGCAACGTCGGATGAGCGGGTAAAAGACGAGTTCAGTGACCTTTCTGAGGGGTGAGAGAAGAGTGGGTTTAAAATAGCCTAAATGTCTTCTTTGCGAGTGTGAAATGACCCGACTCGGAGAGCTCTTTCTCCGCGAGTGACCTGGCCCTCGAGGCCCCTCGGAACTGGCGTCGGAGGCGCAGAGCGGCGGCTCTGCGGCGGCTGTGACGAAGCTCACGCCGCTGACGCACTGAACTCCCCTCCTCGCCGCTGCTGCCGCAGCGGGGGGGTTGGACCGCGGCCTGCCCACGGGCTGCGTGCTGTCCGTGTTTGTTGGCCGCTTCCAGCAAACCCTGTCCCGTTTCGGTTCGAGCACCCTCTGCTCCGGGGGAGGTACCGTGCAGCGGGGGCTTGCTCGGTCCTGGGTATTGGCGGAGCCGCTGCTCCAGCCCCTCGCCGGGGC